TATTGGAGAAGCATACTCTATTGTTTTCCACAACTGTCATTTATCTTATTTTTATCTTTGTGAGGGTAGAAAATCTCACCTTGCACAGGTTTAAGATGCTGAAAATTGCCCACAATCTATCAGATGTTTGTTTGCAATCTGAGCCCATTCATTTTTCACCTGTATCCTGATTTTTTTAAAGTGCCTCTTCCATATACTTTAATTTCAAATTGTGATGATTTCTTATGTTCATTTTTCCTATTCTGTGAAACATGCTGGGATTTGTTTGATATTGCTTCAGTAAAAATGGTATCTTCACCAGTCAGTTTTCAATGGATATATTTAGAAAATAGCACTGAGTTTTCTTTTCCAGAATTTGAAGATGCTTGCAGTTAGTGATGTGACCTCATTATTGTTTGTTATAGCAACATTTGGGAACATGTCCCTATTGCCCTTCTTTATTTTCACAGTCCAGAAGCTTCTCTCAAAGCATTAATTTGTCTAACTTAAGTGACCTACTTTTAATGTAGCTTATCATTTCCATGACTTTATCTAGAATTTTCAATTCATGGCTAATTGTCTTTGTAATTAACACTTTTTCAATGTGTTGCTATGCAGTAATCCCTTCATTGACCCAGCCATTGAAGTAATGCCATCTGTACACATTCCTATACATTGTTCCCAAGAGAAGTTAATAGATTCTATGGTAATGTAGACATGTTTATTATGCTCACACACTTCTGCTCAGCAATTTTAGTTCTATTACCTTGACCCTTTGAGGAAAGATGGAAAGACCATGACTTTGACAAACCCACTGTGGCAGGCGATTTAAATTTTTGTAGGTCTCTTTAGAGAGAAAATCTATTTATTTTATATAGCCACCCATCTATAACCTGGTTAAAGGAAGGGACTAGGAATGTGCCCACCCTAGCTTCATGACTGGAGGTTTCAAGAAGACACTGGACTGCCATCTGTCAGAAATGGTGTAGGGTCTGCTGCTTGGGTCAGTGGGGGTTGGACTAGATCAGAGATGGGTTGGTGCCATTTCGCGCCAGTTCAGAGAAGCTGGTAGTTAAGATTCTGTGCAGTTCAGTGAGCCGGCAAATCCCACCACTGGCTGGCACCACCCCTGCTCATTTTTCAAACTGGTTTTGGGCCATTTTTCAGGCCATTTCAGGCCAGTTTTTGGCCCCAAAATGCCTGAAAACAGCCCGAAAAATGGCCTGAATCCTTAAAAATGCCCCCCAAATAGCATGGGTTTTGGCCATTTTTCAGCCCAAAAAACAGCGTGAAAATGACCTGAAAAACAGCCAGAAAACAGGCTGAAAAACAGGTGGGGGTGGGGCCAGCTAGTGGTGGGATTAGCCTCAACTGGCTGAATCCTACCCCTGCCTTTGAAGTGAGTGGCTGGGAGGTGGGGCTGGGTGTGATGAGTGACGTTACCCACCCAGTCACATGACCAACCGGCCATACCTACCCAGCCAGAGAACCGGTTGTTAAGTTATTCCAGTCTCACCACTGCACTGGATGACCTACAAGATCCCTTCCAACTCTGTTAATGTTAAAAAACATAGCAACCAGGCTGCAGGTCTGTAGGTTTTGCATTTTTTTTGTGGTTTTTATGCACAGGGTCCTTGACACCTGAAAATAATTTGAAAGGTTCTTCCAGAATTAAATTTGAGAAAGGCTGATTGTAGTAAAGTAATAAATTTTGGTATAGGTTGTTGAGGTAATTCCCCGTTAGGAGAAAGAGTGCATACAGGGAGACGTAGTGAGAGTAGGGAAGAATAACACACACACAGCACACAGATATACTGTACAGTAAATGTAGGTTTTTACTTCCAATAAACGTTTAAGCACAGTCCAAGATAAGCAGTCCAAGTCATTCACAGGTAAAGCAGTCGGTGTTCAGTTCAGGGATAATCCAAATATCAAAGTCCAGAATCAAAAAACAGTTCAGTAACAGACTTACATCAACAATCAGTAACAGTCATTAGGAGGAACGGCAACTCTCTCCAACAGAAGGAAACAGAGATTCACTCACTTCACTGAGGCTAAACAACCCAGGTTTCTGGCTCCATCTTATGGCCGTTTGAGAAACCAGACCCAATTACAGTTTAGCATTCCCTTAAAGACATAGTATTAAAATGTCTATCCTAGTTTATATATTTCCAACCCAAATAACTGTTAGGTGACTTAGATTCCTAACATTGGTTATTCATGATTATCACTAAAATATATATATATAATTTCTTTTTTTCTTTCTTTGCACTTTTTCACTTTTTACTTTTCTTTTTCAAAAGTCATAGTTTTTATTTTAAAAGAATATTTAATAAAAATTATGTATGGAAAACATATATTATCAGCATACAATAATAGTTTGATTCTATCTACTGTTATGTCACAAATACCCTTCAACTGGATCATGAAGTTGGCCAATGATTTCAATATCAAACTAAAAATAAGAATTGTAAAAGTCATCTTGGAAAAATTCCATATCTATTTTGATAGATGAGGTATAATTTTATTTTTAATTACCATGAAAGAGGATTTGAGTGTCTCATTTCAATCCAATTAATGAAAAAAAATCCACTAGATTTGGCCAGCACTTGCTCCAAAAATTTCCATTCTACTATATCAAAAGCCTCTCTCCCAGCCAACAAAACCAACATTGCTGATTTCAGCTTTTCTGCAGAATATCAGTTAGCAACCCAATTTTATCACAGGGTTGTCAACCTTTTATAAAATCAAATTTACATGGTGGCTCATTAAAGATAGTGTATGTGCTATTGTTATACTTTTTTCATCCATGTTTATCAAGTAACCAGTATTATAACTTGCATCTTTACCAGTCTTCAAAATTACAGTAATCCAAGTCTAATGAAAGAAAATTAGAAAAAAAATATTCAAAAGCTTCATTATAAACCTCCAATAATAATATGGCTCCAAACAATATATGCCTTATTTTACTCAATAGGAAAGCAAATAGGATCAGGAATGTTATATATTTTACATCAACTATTATTTCCAGGATAAATAATTACTCTCCCAAGGAGATCTGCAACCATTAGTGAAGCTCTGACTAGTTGCAATTGAACTTTTTAGCTCTTTATTATATAAGTCAACACTACTCCTTTATAGATGATTCTGCTGTATATTACATCATTATACTATGTCTTTAGGCACAATATTAATTTTAAACATGTCTACTTATAGACATGTTAAAGATAAAATTATTTTATTTTATATTTCATGTTAGCCATTTTTGTTATTTTGTTATAAAATTTATAATTTTACTTAAACTACAAAAATGTTCATTATATTCATTCTTGTTTTTAAAATTTTGAATGTTTAATTGCCTTGATATCATAATTTGTATTATGTAATTTTAGTCAATGTTATAGTATACATATTACATTACTATTTCAATGGGATAGCTATAATCCTATTTTTTAAATCTTTGTTTTGCTGTTTGATGACCAAAATAAGGATGTTTGACTATAAACATATTGGGCACACACAAAAAAATGCATATAACTTGTCAAACTTAGTCTTAACAAAGGTTCACATAATATCTGAAATGATTTATGTTTCTTTCCATAATAAGGTCCAAATGAAGTCCACTTTAGTACTATGGTATGGTGCTATGTGAAAATGATTTTATTTTAATTGCTTTAGTATTAGTTATTTTGAATGTTTTTGCTAGTTACAGCATCACAAGACTGCAGGCCAGCCAGGTAAACAAAGTGCACACCAACCAGATCTGGTTTGCAACAAGGGAGAGTTGCATGCACTAGGTCAGGGGTGTCAAACTTGATTTCATTGAGAGTCACATCAGGGTTGTGTTTGACCTCAGGGGGCTGGGGTGAGTGTGGCTAGGGTGGCCGTGGTCAGCTTGATGTCACTCACGTCAGGGGCACCTTTGGTGATCTGAGCACTCTGCCAGTGAAAATAGGCTCCAGATCTCCATTTTTGGTTGGGACAGCCTCCTGCAACCCTCTGCCAGAAAAAATGGAGCTCATGAGGACCGCACGAGCCCCTCCCAAGCTCCATTTTTTTCTGGCAAAGGCACCACAGGCCGGTCCTTTGCTGTTTTCAGGGTGGCTCCACGGACCAGATCTAAGCCCCCTGCAGGCCAGATCTGGCCCCTGGGCCCTGAGTTTGACACCTTTATACTAGGTCATGTACCCAGGGAGCTTGCCTCATCCTCTCTATCTGTTGGAGACTGGCCATTTTAAAACTTCTTCTTTAAATAAGTAGGATTATCAAAATGTCTTTACAGAGATAACCCAGCACAAAATGTTCTGGACAGATTGCAGTGATTTTAATTACTTAATTAAATGCATGATATTTAGAAGGAGCATTGCATTGGTGATGTAGAATAAATAAGTCTACATTCATGCTACAATAATTCCTGAAAAGAGTGCAGTTGTGATAGTTGTATTTTTAGTTTCTATTATTGTTATTATTGCATTGTTAGGGTACTTTAATAAATGAATATAGTGGGAAGGTTACTGAGTTTGATATCATGAAATGCCTGAACCACAGGCGTTGAGCGTTTGCTATGACCACGTTTTGGCTATTCTTTGGTGGCTTGTAATGGGTTAAATTCTCCTGGGTACTAAACCATCCAATTGAGGTAAGAGATGTAGTAGCAATGGCGCATCTGATGACTAGGATTGCTTGGTTAGTGGCCCAGATTTTTGTCTCTGTCCTGCTTATCCTCTCTCATGTAGAGACTTTCCTTTTAAGTCTTCGCTATTAGTGTTTGGCAGAGTAGACTGTCATTCTGAAAGACTGAATGACCTTCTTATTCCCCATTTTTTTTCCCTATGGAGATATGTTGTTTTATATTCCCATCTGGCCACAGAGAAGCCAGTACATTCCCAGAATGAACAGGCAGGCACATGAACAGTAAAAAAAAACAAAAAACTGCAGTGACTGTGGCTGAGCTCCTCTCCTCTTCCCTTCTTGTAGCCAAATGCTACCATTCAGATCAGCACAGGCTGTCGAATCAACAGCATGGCTGCCAACAGCAGCAGAGGTAAGAGAGGAATGTAGCAGCCGAATTACTGAAAGCAGCATCAGAGCAAGAACTGAAGCGTCTTCTGAGAAAGCCTTGCAAGCATTTGTATAGTCTGTTTGCATCTCATGTAGATGCATATTTGTTTCTCTTATGCAAAGGGACAAGTAGGGAGATGGTGGAAGGAAAATGGAGGGATCTGCTGCTGAAAGGGAGAGAAACCAAAGCTGCTTGTGATGCCAAAGAAAAAATGCTCAATATGCAAAAGCATCTGCTCTCTCTTTTTTGACAATAATAGGTAGATGTGGGGAACAGAGGATAAACAAGGAATCTGCTCTTCATCACTGGCTTCATGTAATCATTACTGAAACTGAAGGTTCCGGAAAATCTAGCTATCAGGGCTTCAGCTATGATTTCCTAAGAACCTGCAGAACTGAAGACGGGTGATTAAACTGACTGTTTCTTTCTGTTTCTGTTCACAGCTGCCGCTCCAAAACTCAAGAAACTAAAGAGCCTAAATGTAGAAGTTGGAGCAAAGGTTTCTTTGAAATGTGAGGCAAGCGCTGGAAATCCCCAGCCATCCTACAAATGGTTCAAAGATGGCAAAGAAATTAAAAAGAGCAAAGATATCAGAATAAAATATGGGAATGGAAAGTAAGTAAAAACAGGTGCTTTTTCATCTTAAAATTGTAAAAAAAATATCATAGATAAACATTCTTAACTATTATTGGTATAATTGTCATAAACATGACTGAATGGTCAATTTCTAAGTAAAGTAATGTTTACAAAATAGTTATGGTTCTTGTTTGTGAGCAAGATGTATTCATAATATTTTCAGAGGGTTTATTAATTTCAATATTACAAAGTGCAGCACCAGGTGGGGGAAGGCTTTCTAAGGTAAAACATGTGTTACAAAATGGAAAATCCAACAATTTCGTTTTGTGGACTGTCTAGAGCAGAATAGTAGAGAATTCTGCGAGTTGACTTCCATACAGCTTAAAGTTGCTGAAGTTGGGAAGTACAAAGCAAGAAAGCTCAACTATTTTTGCTGTAATACATGGTTAAAAGTTTAATCATACATGGTTAAAAGAGACAGACAAGCTGCCAATTATTTAGGATTAGGAGTGATGGCATGCTCCTCCTCAGTTTGTCCTCTGGATAGACCATGTTCTCTACCTACCTTAAATTTTTGTGTGATGAAGGCAGAGCCAGATAGCATAAACTGGTTATCCATCTGGGTTTTGCACAGGCCTAGAAATCACTTAGATGATTAAGTGAAACAAGTAGTGTCTCTTAGAAAATGGGCCATTTTGCTTTCTGTTTTTTCTTTGAAGGGGTACTTTCTTGCAGCTCCGTTGAAGTGAAGTGTCATCTCCCTTTTTAATAGTATTTAATGATTACTATTTCTTGGCGCACAATGCCACAGAATTAAATTCATTATAAAGTTCTGATTGATACCAACTTGGACCATGAACATTGAATTCTCTATAATGCTGAACACCTGGCTTCTCAGATCAAGCCAGGCCATTGTAGTTGGTAAAAGTTAGCAAGAAAAATAAAGTCAGCAGGCTTCCCAGCACCATATGAGGCAGAGTACAGTAGAGTAGAGACAGTTCCATGGATGTTCATACATTGTGCAGGACTTGGCTTCATGCATTGCCGTCAATATTTTGACTGTAGCTCAAGTAAATTCACTGGGCATATTTGGTGGGAAAGAATGGCACTGAATATATAGTAGTTCAAGATACTAGCTTTAACATGGCACAAAGTGAATTTGTGCTCCTAATGGGAAAACCTTGTTTTAGACTTTTTTTTAAAATGAACAGAATAGAAAGAAATCTGCAGAGATAGATAACAGACACCTCAGAAAGAATTAAAACATCCAGTTTCAGAAAAAAATATGTGGATAGTTAACCCCTTTGAACTTTTCTTTTTTCAAAAAAAAATAAAAATAAAGCTGTAATTGTATAATTTATTTCTGTATTGGATAAAAATTGTGTATATTTTAGGTAGATCTGAAATTGGCAATTTGTTTGAAAGAAATGTGAGTAGGATTTTGGATGGTTTTGGACAGAATTATAGGGCCTTTTCTACAGAGCATTATTTAAGCATATGTTCTGATTTGGATCTGGATCATAAAATCTCCCAGTGATTTCCTACAGTAATTTGGAATTAATGCATTGCTATTGATGCATGTTTTAGCATTTTTCTTGTAGGAAAAGGACTTCTTACAAGGAGAGTGACTGGAAAGCTTCTGAGGGACTGTCCTTTGTGATTAAAGGGTAAACTTCTTGTATACCTTTGCTGCCTGTTCTCCCCACCTGGCATTTTTTGGGGGAAATTTAAATATCTTTTTAGTATTTGTAATTTTGTAGTGCTCCAAAATGTCAGATTATTTCCAAGCTTCTTGTTCAGTTTAGATCCTCTGTATCTGCAGTTTTCACTCTTTTCCTTAGATGTAGGCCATGGCTTCACCATCAAAACTTTTGTAGACCATCATATAAGTGAGGGGTGGCTAATAGGCTACCCACAGACACCATGATTGCTCCAGAAAATATATTCAGGACCTTCCAAATTATTATTTTTTAATCAAGGCTAATATGATATTTCCAAACTTTGTAAATAATCTTAAATCTTAGAAAGAAAAACTGAAATTTTGTGAGATTTGGTTGTTTACTAAAATTTCATCTATTTTTACGTCCATCTACAAAGAGGTACAGTTAGTGCAGTGGTTATAACTGAGGAAGGATTCATGGGAAATATGTATTATCTATACTGATTTGAGTTCTGTGAACCAAAGCTGAAATGCAAATCAAATAGATGCCATTCGTGTTCAGCATTGGGATTTTTATTTCTTCATTTGGTTATGAAGATTATATTTGGTTATGGGCAAAAAAGATTTGTCTAATTGTTTATATCAATAATATTAAAGTGAAAAGCTAGTAAAATCTAGGAACACTAGAAACTTTAAGTTTCTAGCTCTTTAGTGATGGTAAAACTTTTCTACACAAATTTAAAAATTTCCATACTGAAATGCTATTTAACTTATTTTAATTTCCAAGGGGGGAAAAGTGATACATTTATAAACAGCTGTAGAAATATTAATATTGTATCCTTAAAAGAGATTATTTTCACTCATTAGCTAATCAGAGTTCAATTATTGTATTTCTTCTGCCTTCCTCTTTTCTCCTGCTCCAAATCAACATAAGTATTTGATTGCCCCCAAAGCTCTTATCATTATTTCTGAATTGGAAAGTTGAGTTCACTTTGCCCTTCAGATAACAGGTTTTGAATAAACTCAAAGTAGATATAAGAGTGACATGACAAGACAAGGGAGAAATCACATTGTAGTATGTTGAACACCACTAAAGCTGTGTAATAAAAAAACAAACAAAAAAAGATAATTCTGGTGTAAGGATTCCTACCTCGAGCAGAATAGAAGACTGCTAAAGTCTCTTCCATCCCTATGATTCTATGGTATTCTCTTGTTTTCTCTATCTTATATTCACTATTTAATTTTGTGTCCCTCCACTGTTCCTGGATTTTTCATCTCTCTCTCTCTCTCTCTCTCTCATCATATACAAATGTTTACAGAAAACCAGATTCACTCAACCATTATTACTAACTTAACAACTCCAACAATTCACAACAATTGTGGCAAGAAAGGTTATAAAATGGGGTAAAACTCACTTAAAAGTTTCACTTAACAAAAACTTTTGGCTCAATTGTCATAAGTCGAGGACTACTTGTATAAAGAAATTTCTTTTTCAGATACTCTTAAAATTAACTTTTGGGTCTATTGTTCCAAAACAGCAATAGCAATAGCACTTAGAGTTATCTACCACTTCACAGTGCTTTACAGCCCGCTCTAAGAGATTTACAGAGTCAGCATCTTGCCCCCAACAACCTGGGTCCTCATTTTACCCACCTCGGAAGGATGGAAGGCTAAGTCAACTTTGAGCCTGGTGAGATTCAAACTGCCAAATTGCAGTCAGTCAGCAGAAGTAGCCTACAGTACTGTACTCTAACCACTGTGCCACCAAGACTCAAAATATCCTTCAAATAACATACTTCCATTGTTACTTTCTTGTGTTTTCTTCTGGATTGAGGTATCTGTCCTTGTCCCTTGACACTTGATATTGAACATTTGCATTCAGTTATCATATGTTCAGAGTCATGTGGAGTCATGTGGAGTAGGATGGCATTTAAATTAAATTAAATTAAATTAAATTCTTATTTAATTTATCTGACTTATGGTTCTCATATTCGATTTTTAGTTGTACAAGACATTGTAAAATGAGGGAATGTTCTTTCAATACTGTCACTGTTACATTTTTGATGGCTTTGATCTGAACATATGATCACTTCCATAAAACTCATGAAAATTTCCCAACAGCTAGAGGAGTGATTACCAACTTGGGAGTCCATTTAAATATCAAAGGCATGTCTTTACATTTGTAAACATTACAAATTGGCAGCAATACAGAAGGTGCGTACCACTGTGTTCTTTGGAGTTACATATTAGATAATGCTTTCATGTGGGTTGACTTCACCTCACTTGGAGAGTGTTACCTCTGATTACCCCAGCTAAGTTTTCCTCTGTTTGATCATACTAGTAACAGTGACCAGCAGATCATATTCCCAGTAGCATGCTTTTCAAGATAATTTGCATTACTGAGACTTCCTATAATGCTAAGCTTTTAACCTCATGGATCAGGGATTCAAAACATTAAAATCTGAAACCAAACCAGAGGTATTTATGGCAGGTGGAAAGAGGGGCAGGTGACCATATAATAGGATAGAAAGGTAGCATAGAATTCATAGAAACATAGAATCATAAGGCTGGGAGGGATCTTGGGGGTCTTCTAATCCAACCCCCTACTCCAGGTAAGAGACCTTATACCATCTTGGACAAATGGCTTTCCAATCTTTTCTTTAAAAGCTCCAGGGATGGAGGATCCACAACTCCAGGAGGCAAACTGTTCAATTTACAAATTATTCTTACTGTTGTAAGACTAGGCTGAAACTGCCATATCTAAAAATGATGTAGACCTGTAAGGAGGCTATGTCTAAAAGATCCCTTCAGGAGACAGATAAGAAGGAACTAAGTTGTTAAGAAATAAAATAAAAATGTCACCTAAGCCAGACAAAAGAAGTTGGGCCTCAACACATGGGAACCCTCTCCCCAAATCCCATCAACAGCTACCAGATGTGTAACAAGGCAAGAGTAGCTGCCAGTCTTGTGAATCAACAAATAAGGACTTTGGGGGATGAAAAGGGGCCTGAAGTCTGCCTGTCTTTAAGTCATCTTGATGGCTTTCATCCCTCTGGCTAGTGCTTGCCAGCCTAGTTGAGAAGGATAAGGGTAAGTCTAGATGAGTGTGTATATGTGTGAAAGAAAGAAAAGAGCAAATATATAAGTTGTAACCAGTTTTGCTGCTATTTTAAATTCACTGGGTCTCTATATATTCTAAAGAACCAGTTGTGCCTCTATGTTCAGTTAAAAATGATTTGACTATGGCAACTTTCCAGGGCTGTGAGTGTGTGAATGAATGACTATAATCTGAACCTGGGAGCACCTGTGTAATACTTTCAGAAAATTTCTCCTTAGTTCCAGATTGGATCTCTCTTTAACAGTTTCCACCCATTGCTTC